ATAATATATTATAGGTAAGGCGATTATAGTTCAATTGGCAGAACGGTAGATTGTGGATCTATATACCAAGGTTCGAACCCTTGTTTTCGCCCAATAATAAAGATTGATTATTTAAAAAAAGTACTTGATTTTAAAAAATTTTTGATTCAATAATCAAAAAATTTTTAATAAATGAAATATAAATATAATTAGTTAATTTAAAATTTATATTTATTAATTTTTAATTTTTTTAGGATTTTTAATTTCTTCTTTTAGTCAAAATATAATCTTTAAAGTCATTAAGAAGAATTGAACTTCTATCTAATAAGCATGAATTATTCGTTTTACCGTTAAACTATAATAACTATTATTAATATAATTATTATTAATCTATTTTTTTTTTAATAAGTATGTTTAGTTATTTTAGACCCTAATAATGGTTTTACTGTTTTTTAACTTCTTTATAGAACAACTTTAATGGCCCCACAAAATCTATTTATATAAAAATTTTAAAGGTTAAATTCATTTAGACTACCCCCCTTCGGGGATGGTGCCCGCGGAGCGGAGACTATTTTAACTACCTCATAAAATATATAATTATGGGTTTAATATTTAACTAAATTAGTATTTTATTAAAAAAAAATATTCTATATTTAAACAGTCCCCAGATAAGGTGGTCTCACAGAAAAGTAATAAATTGTAACTTAATAAGCTATAAATAATTATTATTAAACAATTTTATTAGTTTAAATTTTGCTATATATTTAATTAAATTTAACTATATATTTAATTTAATTGAAAAAATTAAAGAATATAATAATATATAAATTCTGTGTATTATTTAATAAATATAAACCTTGATATTAAGGTAATAAAATTAAGACAATAAAAATCGAATTTCTATTATATCTATTATAAGCAAAAATTTTTCGTTAAGCTATAATTTAATTATTAATATATATTGAAAGGTTTATCGCACCTACCAAATAAATTTTAAATAAAAATTTTTATTTAATAAATTATAAAATATTTATTTAAATCTAAATAATATACTTAAAATTGCAGGATCTCGTTTAGGATCATTACATACAAAGGAAACTAGAGCTTTAATCAGTGAAACTATGATTGGTCTAAATCATGGTAGAACGCACTCTACTGAGACTAGAATTTTAATGAGTAAAGCCTTGTCTGGTGAGAATCATCCACGAGGATTTTTAGGTAAAATACATTCTCCTAAAACAATAGCAAAAATAAGTATTAGTAAAGGAGGAAGTTTAATATATGAATATGATACTCAAGGGACATTAGTAAATACTTTTACTTCTGCTCGAAAAGCTGCATTACATTTTGAATGTTCTCAAAATACCATACTTAAATATGCTAAAAATGGTAATATCTTTAAAGATAAGTGGAAATTATTTACATCTGAGCTATAGCTATTCTTTGCTCTATTTATTTACGTTAATTTTATTATAAATAAAATTAACACCCCCCCCTCCCCACTTATGGGCTCTAAGGTTAGTATATAAAATAAACTCAAATACTCTCCTTAGAAAATATTATAATATATGAGTTTTATTTGATAAAAAAAAATTATATTTATTAAAAAGACCGATTAGGTTAGTGTATGACTTGAACATACATTTTTAAGTTTTGCAAACCAATACATTACCAATTATGCTAACTAACCGTGGGGTAGGTGTTATTTAATTTAATTTATTAAATCAAATAATATATTTTTATACTAAAGAAAGATAATTTAATTCAGAGAAGAATTAAACCTCCAATAGTATAAAAACTAAGTAATTATTAAACTATAATTGCAGATCAAAAGTTATTATAGTTTAAGAAAAAATTCTAAACAAATTAATAAAAATAAAAGTTTAGTTTCATGTTAAGAAAGGTATATTTTAATAATATATAATTATAAATAAGAAAAATAATTAATGTTTAAAATAAATATGTTTAAAATAAATATGTTACTATTAAAAATTCTAATTTTAGTAATGACAATACCACTAGTTTCTTTTTATTTATCAATAATTTTTTCTACAGAACAATTTGCCTTTTTAATATTTCTATTGTCGTGTTTTATTTTCAGAAATATTGGAGGG